TCAGCATATGTCACTGAGAAAACCCTAAACTTTGCCAAACAAGTTTTCATTCATGCATTCAACAAATATTTTACTGAATGGCCACCCTGACTGGGTATCCAGCAGGGTATTGTATATACAGTGGCCTAGCGGATACTTTGTTTGGGGATTTCTAGCATTCATTCCCATGAACCATCCCGCTTCCCCCGCCAAACATCTGCTCCCCTTTGAAGAGTGAACTAAGCAAATTTGTTTTTCTTTTTTTTCTTTTTTTCTTTTTTAGAGTATTATTTCTTTCCTTCTGGATCCATTCTAATGAGGCTTCTCTACCTCCTCAAACCAAGGATGCTCACTGTGATCCCAGCCAGGTCAGTTGAATGCTCTCTCTGTGAATTTAACATCAAAACAGATTGATAAAGACTCTGAAAACAAGTTTCGATTTGGGGATTCCCATGCCCAATGAGATGGCTTTTCTGTTTCAGAAACAACAGAAAATAGATTTTAGAGCTTCCTTGTTCCTGTTTGTTTCCAAGCAGTGTTTTCTGCCCTGACTATAAACTACGGATGTCCTTCCAACGGAGTCCTTTTTTATTAGATTACCCAGACCAATTGCTGTTGCTTGCACCAAAACACCCGAAATAATATAAGAGATGAATGAAACAGACATGATTCCAGCTTTCAGAGCCTGCCAATTTGGTTGGATAGACAGACACTAAACAAATAAAAAATATGTCATTATAAATTGTTGTAAAATAAATCAATGGTGTACTATGAAAGAGAATAAGAGGGTAATCTAATTGAGATTATGGGGCCACTGGGCACCTAACTGAGATCTGAAGGATGAGCAGACAAAGAGTGGAGGGAAAGGGTCTTCCTGGCAGAGGGCAGAGAACAAACAAAGACCCTGAGGCAGGCAGAAGGTCATTGCATTCCAGGAACTAGTGGAGGCTGGGTCTGCCAGAGGAGTGGCATGAGCTGAGGCAGGAGGGGTGGGCTTGGGCCTGAGCGTGCAAGTCTGACAGTTTATGGATATAATTTCAATTTGCTTTCAAAACAATAGGAACAAACCATCAGAAAGTTATAAGTCCAGCAATGGCACAATCTAATTAGATTTTAAAACAGCCCCTCTTGCTACCGTATACAGAATTGGCTTGTGGGGCAGACATAGAAAGTAATTGAGAGGTCTGGGAAGGATATGAAATGGCTTAGGCTAGGGTGGTAGCAAAGGAGAGGAGAAAGCAAAGTCCTATTGGGATGTAGAGGCACGAGTTGGCGAACCCACTGCTTCAGAGCCTGCCTGCCTTGTGGGCGGGGACGTGGTCCTGCTCATTTCTACATCTCTTGAAATACCTAAATAACTTGTGCATCTATAGAATCATACAATTAATGAAATGTTTCTGTGTCCAGATCTCACTTGACCCTTGCAGCAATCCTGAGGGGTTGCTGAAAACAGAGTAGCTAAGGCTAGAGGAAGAAGTTAATTGGCAATGGTATACACAGTTGGTAATAACCATGCCAGGACTCGCATCCTACTTCTGTCGTTATAGCTTGCTGCCCAGCTCAGTGTCCACCCCCAGAAATGTTTGCAGATCTGAAAATGAACTGAGATCCTCTCCACTGCCCTCTGGGGTCCATTTGTTGTTCCACTGATGAACCTGGGCTCTCTAATATGGTCCTAGAAGCTCATTTGCGTCGGGTTCCGTTTCTCACCCTGTGGCTTATGTAACCACTGGCAGGCTTTGGCCAGCACACGCCAAAGGCTACATGACCCCTGGGGCTCCTAAAGGGTCATATTGCCTTCAGCCAGGGACAAACCGAAAATATTTCTGAGATGTCATACCCAGTGCTATTTGTCCAAATCATACATTCCTATCACCTTTTCTCTCACTCTGCCTGGATCTCCTTGAACGTTCTCTCAATCATTTCTGTCACTTTCCCTGGAAAGCCTACTCCCTTCTGGATAAGTGTCTGGACTGACAGCATCAGTATCACTTGACAACTTGTTTGAAATAGAAAGTCTCAGGCCCCACCCCAGACCCACTGAAAGAAAATCTGGGGGTGGCCCTGCCATCAGTGCTTTAATAAGCCTGCGAAGTGATTTCAACGCGGACAAAAGTTTGGGAAACACCAGCCTAAATCTTTCTAGGAGCAACCTCTCAGGCTTCAGACAGCTGGGCTCAGTTAAAGATGTGTTTTATATGAACCCATGTCAGGGGCTGAAGTGTCTGATGGATCTTACCCAAGCTCTGGATGAAAGATGGTGACAGCTCAAAGCTGAAGAATCTTTTTTTTTTTTTTGAGACCGAGTCTCACACTGTCACCCAGGCTGTAGTGCAGTGGCCCAATCTCGGCTCACTGCTATCTCCGCCTCCTGTGTTCAAGCAATTCCTCTGCCTCAGCCTCCCGCGTAGCTGGGACTACAGGCATGCACTACCATGCCCAGCTAATTTTTGTATTTTTAGTAGAGTTGGGGTTTTACCATGTTGGCCAGAATGGTCTCAATCTCCTGAACTCTGATCCACCCGCCTCAGCCTCCCAAAGTGCTGGGATTACAGATGTGAGCCGCTGCACCTGGCCAAAGCTGGGGAATCTCATAAAGCTATACAGGGTCTTTGCAGGATCATTCTCTGCTGATCTTTAACCCACTGCTTGTGTGGACTGAATCAGATCTTGAAGGAGGAAAGGGAGTTAAGGTGTTAAAAGGGAGTTGCCCAGCCTTTCTTGCCTTTGCCCTTTGCATTCATGTGTCTGTTGCCCATCAAACATGAAAACTATCTAGAGCCAGGTTGGCTCAGGCTAACCGATCCCTTCTTGGAGACAGGGATCAGTGAGATAGGTAAACGATTACAGGTAGCCCTGATAAGTTCCATAGTGTGGGTGCATATTCGTTTGCTTTACTAACAACATACTATAGGCTGAGTGGCTTAAATAACAAATTTATTTTCTCACAGTTCTGGAGGCCAGAAGTCCACAATCAAGGTATAGAAAGGGTTAGTTTCTCCTGAAACCCCTCTCGTTGGCTTGTGAATGGCCACTTTCTGTCTGTGTCCTCTTCACGTGGTCTTTTCACTGTGTGTATACCCCTGCTGTCTCTTTTTGTGACACCTCTCCTAATCTCCTCTGCTTGTAAAGACACCAGTCATATTGAATTGACGCCCTCACATATGACTTCATTTCGCTTTAATTATCTCTTTAAAGGTCTGCAAGTATGAGTTTATCTGTTTATTTGGAGACAGGGTCTCGCTCTGTCACCCAGGCTAGAATGCAGTGCTGTGATCACTGTTCATTGCAGCTTTGACCTCCCAGGCTTAGGGGATTCTCCTCCCTCAGCCTCTCGAGTAGCTGGGACCACAGGTGTGCACCATCACACCCAGTTAATTTTTTAAAAATTTTGGTAGAGATGAGGTATCACTATGTTGCCTAGGCTAATCTCAAACTTCTGGGCTCAAGAGATCTTCCCACCTCGGCCTCCCAAAGGGTTGGGATTATAGGCAAGAGCCACCATGCCTAGCCTCTATGCAAGTTTATAATCTATATGAGATATGTATGTGTACATATGTGTGTGTATGTGTATATACACATAACATACATACCTCACATAGATTGTATTCTTACGTCCTAAAACAACTCATTCTAGTAGATTTTATATATATATATTTAGTTATTATTATTTTGAGACAGAGTCTACCTCTGTTGCCCAGGCTGGAATGCAGTGGCATGATCTTGGCTCACTACAACCTCCACCTCCCAGGTCTAAGTGATTCTCCTACCTCAGTCTCTGGAGTAGCTGGGATTATAGGCGTGTACCACCACACTCGGCTAATTTATTATTTTTAGTAGAGATGGGGTTTTGCCATATTGGCCAGGCTGGTCTCGAACTCCTGACCTCAGGTGATCCACCCATCTCCCAAAGTGCTGGGATTACAGGCACAAGCCGCCACACCTGGCCAGGTTACATATTTTTTATTTTACAAAAGAAACATGACCTTCAGAAGTGATAAGTGACTCTCCTGGAGCCATCTCACTAACTAGTGCCAGAGCTGGGATGCAGATTCCATTCAGCTGCCCCAGAGCTGAGCTTCTCGCCCTCCACTGCCTGGCCCTGCCACTACCACCCTCTGATCATCTCCCATCAGCACTCCCAGAGCACGACTCACCTGACCTCAGCTGGGGATGTGGGCATTGAGTGACTCTAATGTCTTGGTTCCCTGCATATGTCCATGAGTGACTACAAAAATGCTGCACATACTGATTTGGGGGTTATAAATAAATGTTAGGGAGGAGGTGAATTTGCAGATACAGAACCTGTGAATAATTACGATCAGCTGTACATTCTTCCTATTCTCCATGAGATCATAGCCTCCCCTTCTTTCCATCCTTGCCCTTTTCTCCCCACAATTTATGTTATCAGGGCTCTGAGTTTTTCCAGAGTCACTAAGTAAAAAGCCTCTCCCAAAACTCATCAAAACATACATCTATACAGGCTAATGACAGCCCTAAGGAGCCAGACGGACATGCATGTGTGGACATACGGAGCCACATTTGATCTTTGTGGGCCCAGCCGGTAGCATTCCTCATGGCTTTGTGAGGACCTTGAACACAGGGCAGATCATGAGACTGTTTCTGGGCCACGTTTTATACGGTTTCAGAATAAATAGGGAAAAGGAAGTACCAATTTATGGCAAGGGAATTAGGCGGCACGGAAGATGACTAAAGGTGGTCTGCTCAAAATGAACAGGAAGTTCTGCTAGGGCAGAATAATTATTGCGGAATTTGGGGAAATAAAAAGATGCGCAAGTACCTGTATCTTGAAAAATTGTATTGTAATTTACCATTATTGTGTATCGTGCTTCTTCAATCCCAGTCTCTTTTCACAATAGAATATTAATTTTTTCTATTTGATGGGGATTAAAATGCCTTTTTGTCATGTCTTTTTTGACCTAGACTCAGACCATCATTTCTCCAGTATTACTGGTTACATTACATGGGCCTGTTCGGTGGGAGAGGAGACCACACCGAACATGGGAACCAGGATGAGAGAATCATGGGAGGTCATCCTGGAGGCTCAGCTGCCAGGTGAGTTACTGCCTTGCTCAAGAACTGTCACTTGTCCTTAGTGCCTGGCTGTAAGGCACAAATTCAGAACTTAACAGATCCTCTTTCTTTAAGTCCACTTCTCTAAGCCCCACTTCTCTGTCTTACAAGGTTTACAGGCTGCTTACAGGTTTACACACAATATGTCCCTCCCCGCCTTTGACTATGCCACTGCCCTAGCTTGAAGCATTCTTCCTCCTCATTTCACCATGCCAAGGTCATCTAGCTCTGGGTAGCATTCTGGATGGGAGTAGGGATATCTGGAAGCCTTCCAAGAGATAATAACCTAATGAAAGAGGAAGCCAGGCTCCCGGATGTCTTCCAGTGATGATTCTCGGAGGTCTAAGAAAAGGGCCAATCCAGAAAGCCGCTGTAGGGGACAGGGGAAGGAGGCTTCTTTCACTCAGATTTGTCCTTAGCTAAGTCCTCGTGGGTTTATATTGGAATTCTGGAGGAGAATGAGAAGCTGGGAGCAAGGAAGCATTCCAAAAGCTACTCTCCCACTTATACTGCGAGCCATAAAGCTAAAAGCTGCATGGTGCTGGCTCTCATGTGACAAAGTGTGATGAAAACAGGGAGACAGAGTGATAGAGATTCTCAAGGCATCACAGTCACCAGCAAGGAGAGCCCAGCTCAGTGCAGACTCCTGGAAACACCCTCACAGGCGTCATGGCCATCAGCAACCCCAGTCCTCCTCCGACTGGGGAACATGGTGGCTGCCACAGATGGCCAAGAGAACTTTCCTAAGAATACATCTGAGTCACTCACTGTGTGCTCCCAGAAGTGATTGCCTTGCAGGAGGCTGGAGGTCCTGCAAGAGCAAGCCTGGGTGAGACCTAAACAATTGTGGGTCTTTGTAACTTATGTGACTCCACTGTACTACTGGCACAGCCCCCATCATTTCTCCTATGGGGCTGAGAGTGAGTGCAACCCCTCCCCTTGGTGGAGCTTCCAAAGGCTTCAGAAAAACAGGTGAATTGTGAGTTAAGTCCTTGCCCATTTAATTTCAGTAAATAGAGAAACTCATCCCCTGCAACCTCCGCTAACCAAACCACTCAGAGTGGATCCCCTGTGTTGCTGACTGGGAGGAAGAAAGGTTTGCTTGGTAAAAGGAATTATTTCTCAAGGGCAGGGGTAAAAAGGGGAGGAAAAGTATACCTTTATCTCTGTAAGCAAAGGTGGAAAACAGGGGGTATGACATTTCTTTGTATCATTGAAGATAAAATCAACATCTTAATTTATCATCACCCTCATAGACATTGAGAAGGCTGGGATAACACTGAGTCCTTGGCCTCTAAGAGGTTTTAATCTGGTAGAGGAATTCTTAAAACAGCATCAGCTCAGTCAGAGCCAAAGCAGGGTCAGGCGGGAGGATGAGGAAGGAAGTGCTGAGGACTCAGACAGCAAAGATGTTAGAGTTCCCAAGAGGGGCCATCACCGAGGGCCAGATTCAGGGGACTTTGGGGGAAGGGTCACAGGGGCTGCAACTTGGGGGAGGTTTGGCACAAGGGGTTTAATGTGAGGGAGAGGAAGACAGGGAAAGGCATTCTGGACCTCACAGGTCAAGTTATAAAAGTTTCCCTAAAATCTCTGCTGATGTCTGGGACATGATCAGCCAAGACCTTTCTTTTGCTGGGAGGGTGCAAATACCAGGTCCAGCCCAGAGTGAAAACAGCTGTGCATCTCTCATGCGTCCCACCCCTCCCCCGTGTTTCCGTTAACTCATCTGCATGTCGTTCAATGACAATTATGCTTTCTGGTTCCTCACCTATTCAAACCCTCAGACTGAAATGGCAAATACAATAAATCTCCACGGTGGCAACTAAATACTGCTTTTTCCTCTGCAGAAATCATGGCGCTTTGAGTCATGAAGCTCGGGATGTGAGGTTTGCTTGGGCAGATCTCCTACTGCAGGCCAGGAATGTGTCAGAAACTTGCCTTAGAGAGAACACTGTCTTCAGATGCTACAGAGCAGTGTGGTGACCAGTAGAAACTCCACACTTGATGAGTGGCAAATGGGACAGGTAGGCAGCACCAAGTGGAGTCTTGGGAGGACAGCAAGTGAAGCAGGAATGGCTGCAAACAAACCTCTTGAACACCGAACTGGGAAGGAAGGGGTGATTTATTTGGCCAGGAGCTGCAGCAGGCGCGGGCGTGAGTGTCCCAATGGCTGAGCTCCCCAACAAAGAAAATCCTCGCCCTTTTCAAGGCTTAGGACTCTGGGAATTACACCTGAAAAGGTCTTGATCCATAGGGTATGTGACTAGGTGGGGGAATGACCGTGTTTAAGTGAAAACAATGCCTTCGGGGAAGATTCCTCCAACAGTGCCTGTGATTTACAGGCGTGTGATTAGGGTGGCTTGCCTGGGTCTGCCAGCCTGGACTTCTCCTGTTGAAATGCAATGTAGAAGTCTAGGGGGAAGGGCTCTTAGAAGCTTAGGAGGGTTGGAGGGTTAAGGGTCTCCTTCTTCACAAGGACCAGGCACAAGGAAATGGTGTCACCTTTACCGGTTCCTTATTTTCCAGTGGCACTTCCAGGTCTAGAGGTGGAGTTGCTGCCTCTGATTAACCAGCCCCAGGGCACTGCATCATGCCTGTACCTTCCCTAAACATTAAAAAAAAAAAAGTATTAATTCTCCTCATATTAAGGGGGAAAATAGCCAGGTTTTTGAAAGACTCAGGATGAGCAGTAGAAAACTATCTTCCAGTGGCAGCCAAAGAAAGCATGGTTGATCCTCGGTCTGGACTCATTGCTTGGAGGGCAAAGATGGTGTTAGTTTTCTCTTTGTAAGATCAAGGGCCAGCAGCCAAACCAGCCGGGCAACCCACCAAATACTTTATTTAGTAGTCAGACTCTGGCTGCAGATTCGTACCTAACCTGGCCAAGGGAAAGGCAGAAGGGAGTGAGTGTTTGTCCAGGCTCAGCAGGCGGTAAGTAGTACATGCTGTGTGCTCTGGGAGAGCTGCAGGCCTTGCTACGAGGATACCTGACTGGAAGGTTTGCTCTATTACGACAGCCTTTCATCTTGTGAATTATAATGGAATGAAATGTCCCACAGGCCTTGCTGGTTTTGCCATGGTTCCTTCTTCCTGCCCGGGGTCTTTAAGTGTTGTCCTTCCACTTGGAATATTTTTCCCTGTTCTTCACTTGCATAGCATCTGCTTAGCCTTCAGGTCTCAAGCAAATGTTACTTCCTCAGTGAGTTCTGTTGGACTAATCAACTGGGAATGTGTTTGACTGCAAGTGAGAGAAAACTCAACTTCTCAAGCTTAAACGAGTAGTGTTTATTTTTCTAACTTGAGAGGCAGGCAGAGGTACAGAGTGGAGGCTGATGATGCAGCCTGACGATGTTGTCAGGAACCAGTCTCTTCCTGTCTTTCCATCCCTCTGTCCCTATGGTACTTGGCATGCTGCCTCATGGTTGCAAGATAGCTGCCATGCCTCTAGGCATTACGTCTACACTTCAGTCCGGAAGAAGAGGAAAGGACAAAGAAGAAAAGAGAAAGAACAAAGGCTATTACAGCTAGGTCTATTTTTTTTTTTATCAGAAAAGCAAAATATTTTAGGAAGGCCTAATTAACAGACTTTGGCTTTCATTTTGTTGGCCAGAAATAGAGTACATGGCCTCTCCACAACCAGTCACTGGTCAAGGGAAATGAGAGTTCAAAGACTGCTTAGAAGCACTTTAAGTCATTCCGTGAGCTGGATAAAGGCCTGAACGCTCCAAGACAAAAGGATCTCTAGGTACCTGAAATAATCAGGGTTGTGTTAGCAACAGATGTCTGTTACATCCTCCTTGGCTAGCCAACGAAAGGAGCCCTTATACTCTGAAAGCCCTTGTGCAATTTGCCATTATATGTTCATTTATGTGTTTATTTGTATGATGCCTAAATGCAGCGCTAGACTTAAGGCTGCAGGAGGGAAGATGCTATAAATGCTTTCTTCCCTATTCAACACCGAGCATAGCACTGAGCATACGGTAAGCTCTACAGGCATCTTTATTGAACCGGTAAAAGAAACAGGATAAGTGTGGTGGTTCACACCTGTAATCCTAGCACTTTCAGAGGCCAAGGTAGGAGGATTGCTTCGGGCTTAGTGTCCAGGCCAGGAGTTAGAGGCTGGCTTGGGCAACATAGGGAGATCCCATCTCTACAAAAAATACAATGCAGCCATAAAAAACGATGAGTTCGTGTTCTTTGTAGGGACGTGGATGAATCTGGAAACCATAATTCTCAGCAAACCGACACGAGAACAGAAAACCAAATACTGCAAGTTCTCACTCATAGGCAGGTGACAAACAATGAGAACACACAGGCACAGGAGGGGAACATCACACACTGGGGTCTGTTGGGGTATTGGGGGCTGGGGAGGGACAGCAGGGGCAGAGAGGTTGGGGAGGGATAACACTGGGAGAAATACCTGATGTAGGTGACGGGGGGCGGGGGATGGAGACAGCAAACCACCATGGCATGCGTGTACCTATGCAACAATCCTGCAATATCTGCACATGTACCCCAGAACTTAAAGTACAATTTAAAAAATACAAGGATTGGCTGGGCTTGTTGGTACACACTTGTCGTCCCAGCTACTCAGGAGACTGAGGCAGGAAGATGGCTGGAACCCAGCAGTTGAGGCTGCAGTGAGCTGTGATTACATCACTGTGCTCCAGCCTGGGCAACACAGTGAAACCTGTCTCAAAAAAGAGTCCTTGCTACAGGGGTCATCCAGTAAGCACAGAAATAGCTGAAAGAGCTGCTGTGACGGGACCTCCTTCTTTCCGATGACAGCCCTTGATGTTGCGGTCAGAGAATTCTTCCTAATGTTGATCTCACTGCCGGTCATTTCCACACTTACGAGCTAAATTGTGTCCCCACAAAATTCCTATTTTGAAGTCCTGACTCCCAGTGTTTTAGCTTCAGAACATGACTGTATTTGAAGATGGGGTCTTTAAAGAGGTAATCAAGGTTAAATGAGGTCACTGGGGTGGGCCCCAGGCCCCACCCCAATCTGACTGGTATCAAATAGGATATGAAGACAGAGACCAGCCTACAGGGAAGACAGCCACGGCAAACTGGGCAGGAAGGCTCAGAGGAAACCAGCTCTCCTGAGACCTTCACCTTGAAGGAAACCCTTAATCACCCTTAAGTATCTAAGACCACCTCCCCCTTGACTTCCACATTGCATTTCAATAGGAGAAGTAAAGGCTGGCAGACCGGGCACCACCTTTAATCGCCCTCCTATAGATGGCAGGCGTGGTGTGGAGGAGTCTTCCCGGAAGGCATTGCTTTTACTTAAACACGATCAAACCCTCACCCAAGTCACATACCCCACGCCTACTCCATGGACCGAGACCCTTTCACATGTAATTTCTAGAGCTGTAAGCCTTTAAAAGGGCAGGGATTTTCTTTGTTAGGAGAGCTGGGCTATTTGGGGCATTCAGACCCTCCGCCAGCTCCCGGCTGAATAAATCACCGCTTCCTTCCCAGTCAGTGTTGAGAGGTTTTGTCTGTGGGCTGTCCTACAACAATCTGAGATGGCTACCTTCCAGAAAAGCAAGAAAATCAATGTGTGTTGTTGAAGTCACCTGGTCTGGAAGACTCTGGTGGCAGCCCCTGAAGACAAGTGCAGCCCCTCTCCACTGCCGGCCATCACATACTTCAAGACACCCATCAGACTGGTTCTGCAAAGTCTTTTTTTTGTTGAGTACATTTTCTAGCAGGGAACCAAGTCAGCTCCCCTCTAAACTTGTGTCCTTTTTGTTTATCAAAGCAGCCGAATGGAAGATAGGCAGGGGTTTAATTTGCTTGCGTGCAAGTTTCTTTCCCTGAGGCAATAGTGTCACTTTGCATTCTTGGTCTTTCCTTGGATTGGTGATAGTAGAACAGTCTCACTTGGGTTTTCTTCCAGAGCATGCGTGTTTTAACATCCTCCAATTCTTATAAGCAAATAATAGCCAGATGTGATTCATTCTTGCCGGACAATGTTGATACTTAGAATGGATTTATGTAAGTGTCTCTGAATACAACAAATGTTCCTTTGTTAGTGATTTGTGGTAGCTAATGTCATAATAGTGATCTCACGTCAGCAAGATACTGGCTGTCCCCTGGTGAGTAGTGTGTTAGTCAGCAACCACTACAATATACCGCACACAAACTACTTAAACCTTGTCTTAATGCCTGTGGGTTGACTAAGGCAGCTCTGCTTTCAGCTGAGCCTCAAGCTCCTGTTTGCTTCACATCTCTCATTCTTGACCCAAGATTTGTGGCAGTGGTGACCTGGAGCATAATCTTCTCATGATGGAGGTTAGAGTCTCCCAGAGGGGAAGGCAGAAATACGATGGCCCTGAAAATATAGGCTTGGAGTGAGCATCTTTTCACTTCCACTCACATTTCATTGGCTAAGCAGTCACAAGAACAAGCCCAACATGAATGTGTCTGGGGCTGTCCTTCCTCCAGGGAGGCGCGATGAAAGGAGTGAATATTTGTTCAACAGTAATCTAGTCTACCGCAGGCAGTCAGGGGAGGCCTGGGGTAGAGGGCGTCAGCCTGGGAAGGCCCTTACCCCAGGACTAGGCATCTCTCAAGTAGTGGGGAGACCTCAGGGAAGTTAGGAGTGGTTGGATCTAAAGAATGAAGCAATCGTTTTTCACAAGATAGCGCCGAAAGCAAAGAAGGAAGCTCCTGCCCCTCCTAAAGCCGAAGCCAAAGCGAAGGCTTTAAAGGCCAAGAAGGTAGTGTTGAAAGGTGCCCACAGCCACAAAAAAAAGAACATCCACACGTCACCCACCTTCCGGCGGCCCAAAACACTGCGACTCCGGAGGCAGCCCAAATATCCTCGGAAGAGCACCCCCAGGAGAAACAAACTTGACCACTCTGCTATCATCAGGTTTCCGATGACCACAGAGTCTGCCATGAAGAAGACAGAAGACAACCACACACTTGTGTTCACTGTGGGTGTTAAAGCCAACAGGCACCAGATCAAACAGGCTGTGAAGAAGCTCTATGACATTGAGGTAGCCAAGGTCAGCACCCTGATTCGGCCTGATGGAGAGAAGAAGGCATGTGTTCAACTGGCTCCTCATTATGATGCTTTGGATGTTACCAACAAAATTGGGATCATCTAAACTGAGTCCAGCTGGCTAATTCTAAATATATGTATATCTTTTCACCATTAAAAAAAAAAAAGAATGAAGCAATCCTTAACCTTGGGAGGGTCCAGGGTTAGAGCCTGAGTATTCAGAACAGTGATGAATCAAAAGGCCAATGGTGTATCCAAGAGCAGGAGCCTGAGGAAAGACAGGAATGCATTCAGGATTGTGCTCTGGGGAACCCGCAGCGTTTTGGAAGGACCTGCTGGTGTGAAGATGTACATACCTGCTGGAAGATCCCAGGTCGGGAGGTTATACAGAGTACTCTCGAGGTGCTTCCCTACTTCTCTCTTCATATAGTTCTTTTCATATTTACCCTCCTCTCTGGGGCCCACTTTTTCTCCCTCTTGCTCAGCCCTGCTTTCAGACCATATCCCTTCTTCACTCATCCATGCCTCTTCCCACAAAAATGTCCACAGGGCCTTCCATACTGAGACTCTCAGGCATCCTTTGGAGAAACTGATCAACTTGCAATTTGCGTGAATGAAACTACATGGGTGGCTGATTTGTAACTCTATCCTTACTTGGAAGCTGAGGATGCAGAGACCCTCAGAGTAACTAGCTTGCAGAGGCTTTCTGAGTCCTAATATCAGTTAGAGTAAGGCTGGGACCACCACTTTGGTTTGGGGGTTTATCAGTTCTAGTACTGATGACATATCATTTTAAAGTTCACTGGCTTGAAACAACTGTGTATTATTTCTCATGAATATGAATACGGGTCAGCTTGGGGTCAGGGACTATAGGTTACACTCAGCTGTGTGGCTGTACCAGGCTCTGTTGGGCTCACTCACGCACGACCAACTGGGGCTAGACAGATCTAGGATGGACCTGGAAAGTGCCCTGCTCCACACATCTCTTTCTCTTCCTGGACTGATGGGCTGGCCCGAGTGTGCCTTTCCCAAGGCAGTCACAGAAGTGCACGAGAACGGCAGAAGTGCTTTCAAGGCCTCTTGAGGCCTACACTCAGAATCGGCATACTGTCTGTCATTCAGAGGTCTCCAAGACTCCCTGTAAGTTCACTGATTCAGTAGAAGGACTCAGAACACAGCAAAGCTGTTATACTCATGGTTACAGTTTACTATAGGAAAATGATACGGATTAAATCAGCCATGGAAAAAGGGTGCATAGGAGACAGCAGGTGCTGACTTCCAGCTGTCCTCTCCCGGTGGAGTTTCACAGTCAGGGCTTCATTCTCCCAGAAGGGATGTATGGCAACATACAGGGAACACTGCCACCCAGGGAAGCCCACGCCAACCTTAGTGTGTAGGGTTCTTATTGGGGTCTGGTCACATAGTCATGGCTGACTGCCCATGTGGTGGGCCTTAGTTTCCAGCTTCTTCAGAGGTCACGTGGATACTATGTGGCTCACAACCCCCGCCATAAATCTCACTTCGTGTAGACTACATGACATGACCCACAGCCTCCAGGTAAACAATGACATTCTTATCAGGCTGTCACAGGCCAAAACTTGCCTTGGAATGGGCAGGTTTGGACCACCCAGGCAAGCTGAGTTAATCCTTCATTGCACAGCGTCCTTCTGCCACCTCCTGTTGGAGGCACAGCTGACGCGGCTGAATCCAGGCAGACTGGGAGGGCACTACAGTCACAAAGCAAAGGGCGTGGATTCAGAGAGAGGTGGTGATCTGGGCCATTAATGTAATTCACCATGAAGGCCCCACCTGGGGTGAGGTGTGGGCTAGCACGTGGGCAGCCACAGGTGGCCCATCTTAGTCTTATGGTTGCTGGGACATAATGTGTATTCACACCTCTGTGTTGTGCTGTTCTCCACCTTCTCACAACCTCTCATTTATCTAGAAAGTTCCAACTCAAATTTCAAGACTTTCTTCCCCTGTGAGGCCTTCCCTGAACACCGGCCCAGCAAAGACCGGGTTCTCCTCATGAACAGATGATGATGAGACTAATGATCATGGTTTGACCTTGTCTAATGCTTTGAGGTGGGGAGACAGCTCATTTGTCTCCTTTCTGATTCTTTGTCTGTCTCCTGCTCCTGACCATCCGCAAACTCAGTTTCACCTGGGATAATGATTTACTCAGCTTCAGGTTTGCTTCGGAGACTCCCAGGCCCAGCCGCCTGGTTGCATTCCTGGCCAAGGCCTGTTCTCTGCCCAGAGTGGAAAGCGCAGAGAGATGTTTTCTTCTAAGTGCTGTTTCCAGTCCTCAGTTGTCACATTCCCCACTCGATTCTTCTCCTCCCCTATGCGGAGGCTATTTCCACTGCAGCACGAAATTAGTTCGAAGTCTGTTGATATTCACTTGGGGTGGCTGGAAAAATCTTAAAGATATATTAGGAAAAGCTATAGTTCAGTTTCAAACCTTTTGGAAGGTCAAAAGGTTTTATTGGGGCAGGCCAAAGAAGGCCGGACGGTCCATTAATTTAGGGAGAAGATGGGGACGTTGTTAAGAAGCTTTCCTAGTTAAAGTCTGTTTACCCCACATCCCTTTGTCTCTGTTTACTCATGTTAATTTTGTGCCACCCTCTCGGGGAGATCAAAAGGGAATTACCTGTTAATAGTGTTTACTCTGGCCCGGAACCTAAAGCTTTTATGATTCGTAAAATCACTCTTTCAATCATGTTAATTAGCCACAAGTGTGTTAACTTAGAACCTCTGTTGTAAAATATTGACTGAATCAATGTGTGGATGGACAGAGGGTCTTGGTCAATTGGTTGCATTTTGCTCTCTTTTTTTTTTTTAATTGAGATAGTTTCACTGTTGTTGCCCAGGCTCACTGCAACTTCCACCTCTTGGGTTCAAGCGATTCTCCTTCCTGAGCCTCCCGAGTAGCTGGGATTATAGACATGCACCACCACACCCAGCTAATTTTGTATTTTTAGTAGAGACGGGGTTTCTCCATGTTGGTCAGGCTGGTCTCGAACTCCTGTTGATCCACAAACTTCGGCCTCCCAAAGTGCTGGGATTGGAGGCATGAGCCACCATGCCTGGCTGCATTTTGCCCTCTGAAAGCAGCCAACATCCATCCCTAGCCCACTTGAATCACTGTAATGGTGTGAGAGTACATTCATTCATACTTCTTCGAGTCAGGGTCTGCAGGCCAGACCTCTGCAGGTGGTGGTGGTCGACATCTCAGGACCCCTTACAATCCAAGCTCCGTTTCCCAGGCTTGCAAAATACTTTACGAGCAAAGATAATGCCTTCTCCTTGGTGCCCAGGCTGTGGAGGTGGGGGAGCATTTCGTATGATCTGAATCCCAGCAACTCCTGGGCCTGTCTCAAAGCAAAACCAAGTCACCTGATTATTTTATCTGACCCTGAAGATGTCTACTGCCTCTTCCCAAATGTTACCCACTCCATGAAACCTACCTTAATCCCTTAGTGGGAAGGATTCCTCTCCAGTCTGAAATATTATATCTCCAACCACATTCTTCCTACTATTAATTCCTTTTCTGTACGGGCCCATGTCACCCACCATGTTGTAGGTAATCTAAGGCCAGGAACCATATCTGTTCCCTGCATGAGACCCAAGGCTTAGGGCACAGTGGGTCTCCTGTAAATGTTTCCTCAGTAACTGTTCAGTGATAGCTGGTGGATGGCCTGAAGCAGCCTCAGTCCCTAAAAGTCAAACTGGGAAGAGAAAGAAGAGGTCAGATGATCGCTATGTCCAACCCATTCCTGCAGGTCCAGAGCCGAGGGGCAGGGGAGGCCACTCGATGGGGATGCTGAGGCTGAGAGGGGGAGTCACAATGCCAGGGGAGTGGCCGGTCGGGAAATAGGGAACTCAACTTGACAGTGGGGATTTGATTTAGTCACCTTTATGTCTCAGGACTTAGTGAAACACCACCCACCAAGAAATAGCAGGACCAAACAAAGCTGTGAGTGAGGAGCAGGTGGCAAGTTGGAGGCCAGAGGAGCAGGTAAAATCAGGCACTGAAATTATAGCTAGGACTAAAGCAAGTGGTTTCTTTAATTTTTAAAATTTTTCATTATTATGATTACTTAATCATGTATATATTTATAGGGTACATGCAATATTTTGAAATAGACATGCAGTGTGTAATGTAATCACATCAGGGTGATTGAGAGTATTCATAAAAAGATCTTAAAAGGCTGAAGTTGGGGATGGGATAATGGGCCTAGAGTGAATCTGGTAGGCTGCATTTTTTTTTCTGCGTCCTCCAGGGTCAGGGCTGTGGCCTTAAAGGAGCAGCCCACCTACCACCACCACCAGATTGTACCTACGTCAAAGACTTTGATAGCGTTTAGGAAGGAAGCTCTGGCTTGCCGCCATTGATACTCAGGCATCAACTCATTCATGCTGGCACCATGTTCACAAGGCCACCAGTGGCTGGGGAGGTCTTGGGAAGACCAGTCCAGTGGAAGCCCCAGTTAAAGGTAAGAGAAGCTGCTGGGTACTCTAGAGAAGTGCTTCTCAAACCTGAATGTGAGCATGAACCACTTATGGATTTTGCTAAAAGGTTGGTTCTGGTTTGGTAGGTCTGGAGTAGGGCCTGAGATTCCACCTTCCTCTCAAGCTATCTGAGTGTTGCTGATGTTGCTGGCTCGAGGACTTTATTTGAGTAATGAGGGGCCAGACTAGCAGTGGATCTTCATGCTGGCTGCAAACAATCACCTGGTGGAGTGTTAACCAACCAAATGCCCATCAATGAGAGACTGGATAAAGCAAATATGGCACCTCCACCATGGAATACTATGCAGCCATAATAAAGGATCATGTCCTTTGCAGGGACGTGGATGAAGCTGGAAACTGTCATTCTCAGCAAACTGACACAAGAACAGAAAACTACCGCATGTTCTCACTCATAAGTGGGTGTTGAACAATGAAAACACATGGACACAGGGAGGGGAACATCACACTCCGGGGCCTGTCAGGGGTTGGGGGGCCTGGGAGAAGGATAGCAGTGGGTGGGGTGATTGGGGAGGGATGACATTAGGAGAAGTACCTAATGTAGATGACGGGAGGATGTGTGCAGCAAACCACCATGGCACATGCATACCTATGTAACAAACCTGCATGATCTGCACATGTACCCCAGAACTTAAAGTATAATGCAAAATAAATAGATAGATAGATAAATACCAATACCTATTGCCAATGGTGGGATGGCCTGCCATCGTGTGGGTGGTTCTCCAAGTGTGGTCCCTGGACCCACAGGATCAGCATCACCTGCAAACTTTTGAGAAATGCAAATCTCAGGCCTCAGCCCACACCTCCCAAATCAGAAACCGTGGGGTAGGGCTCAGCAATGTGGGTTTTAACCAGCCCTCCAAGTGCACGCTGTAGTTTGTGAACCTCTGCATGTTTTTGCATCCTAATCTGATGCAATCGGAGGTATACAGCATCACACAAAAATCATTTATGTGAGGTTCTTACTGGACATATTTGACTGAATCTAGTCATGAGGAAATCATGACTTTCTCGGGCTTCATAATGCTGTGTGGTTCTGCAGGAGAATTTCCATATGCTTCTGGGACGTGTGCTGCAACAATTAGGGGTGAAATATGTATTTTTTTGCAGCTGACTAGTGAATGGTTTGGTTAAAGGGAAACGTGTACGTGTGTGTGTGTGTGTGTGTGTGTAAGAGAGATGGAGCAAAATTTCACTTTGTTGATTCAAATGTGTACCTAATATTGAGGGCCTTGATTCTATGGTAGCTTTTCTTAAACGGTGGTCATAAAACCACCTGCATCAGAAGCTCTAGGCGGCTGGTTTAAAATGTAAATCCTGAATCTCATTTATGCATAGCAATCAGGATCTCTGGGGCAGGGCCTCAGGTAGGTACCGTAGAGGGTTCGGAGCTAATATTTGAGAGTCATTGTTTGAAAGTCTTTGTCAGAGAGTATTAGGTCACCAATCCAGACTGCTACAGGGTCCAGGAGGTAAACTGAACAAGTGAAGTGGCTGGTGTAAGGCTGTTGGGGCTGGTGGGGACTGCAGCAAATGACAAATCTGTGCTCATTTAAAGCTCCAGCTTCCAGCTGACTAGGAGGAGAATGTCTTGCCAGTGCTGCTCAGAGTTGCTAAATCTTTTTCTCTTTCTTTTTTCTCAAGACACATCAGAAATCTGGAGTTTTTAATGTGCAACTTCTCAATTTTAAAGTGCTGGTGACTTACTTAAAAAGTATTGAAACACCACCGAAGTGAAACAAAAATCTCTGGAGATAGAATTCAGCCTACTGACCACTTGTTTGCAATCTCTGGCATGGACTTAGCTAAGCAACCAGAGTACTGTGAGGGCCATGGTTCAAGGGGTCTCGGGCTTGTCAGAGAATTCCACAGCTTGCGCTCTGATCATGTTGCCACGTCCCTGAACAATGACTTCCTCTGCAGGAATCCTCCCAACGTTCCCCTGCTGTTAATTGACGGTGTGATGTGTCCACAGTTTCCCTTCTAGGGAGTTAGTTGGTGGAGAGAGGACTGTTTAGTGGCTGAAGCTGGGAGACACAGCATACCAAGTGTTTCTTGGCCAGCAGTGCAGAAGCCCCTGGTGCTCCAGGACATTTTCCTGGACCACAGTGTGCCTCGCTCACTGAAACCCTTACAAAACAAACAGCTGGGAAGTTGTGTGCTGAGCCCAACCTGGGGTTGGGAGAACTTGTGTGGACAGCCCTTTCATTCCAAAGGGTTTTTCCTCCTAAGCTGGGCACTTCCTGCAGCTCCCAATCCAACAACCATGTCAACCGTCCACAGATCCCAGGATATTGAGGCTTTGGTCCTGACAGTTCCCCCAGTCTATTGTATGAACTTGAAACAGTCACACCCTCTCTCTACTGCGGAAGGAGACTGCTGTCAGGGATTTTTCAGCAGCAGAACTCTTTTTAAAAAAATTCCCCTGAAGGGCTGGGCACTGTGGCTCATGCCTGTAATCCCAGCACTTTGGGAGGCTGAGGTGGGTGGATCATGAGGTCAGGCGTTCGAGACCAGCCTGGCCAACATAGTGAAACCCCTATCTCTACTAAAAATACAAAAAATTAGCCAGGCATGGTGGCAGGTGCCTGTGATCCCACCTACTTGGGAGGCTGAGGCATGAGAATCACTTGAACCTGCGAGGCAGAGGTTGCAGTGAGCCGAGATTGGGCCACTGCACTCCAGCCTGGGTGACAGTGCGAGACTCCGTCTCAGAAAAAGAAAAAAATTCTACTGAAATTTTACAGCAAAACCCCAAAATAAAATAAATGCAATAAATGCTTTCCTCAGGACGTTTAATTCTTCTAAGGTTGACTGGTACATGTCAGTGTTGACCAAACCCCTTAAACATCTATAAGGTTCCAGGAAACAGTTTGAAAATTATGGGGCTTGCTCAAGGTCTTTTTTTAAATTTTGGAAATGCCGTGTTTAAGATGTTTTTGAGCAGTTTCTTCTAGGTCTCCCATTACTTTACACCTTAACTGCAACTGCAAGGAAGTCCACCTCTCGGAGGCATTTACTGAAGCCTCCTGGTTACACAGACAGTACTAGATGCCGTAAAGGGGAATAGCCATGACCTCCATTTTAGGGTTGACCTGGGGTGGCAAAGAGGAAAGGAACCTTGGACGTATTCTAATCCTATATTTATAACCTATTCTAACCCATGGCCCTTTTCTAATAAATATAAAAATCCCACAGGCTTAGCTTTTGATGTAATTCCCACCAATGCTTTGAGAAAGCCTTTGTACAGCTTTTCCTTCTGTAAATTATATTATCAAAATAATAGATACTTTTTAATGTTCCAAACAAGAATTACACGAACGTTTTATTGACCTTGCATTTTCCAAAATATATACATGCCACTCTAAAAACATGACACATTTCCTTCACCCCCCTCCCGCTTCCCACCTCTGCCCTACTCTCATCTATTGAGGATAAGTGACTCCATTCATTCTTTCTCATTTATACTTCCGCCTGGCTTTCTTCAGCTATAAAATGTGAGGACATAATATGGAGCGAGTGGGCAGGGATTGGTGAGGATACAGGTAAAACAAAGTTGGCTTTGAGTAAATAATTGTTGAAACTGGGTGATGGGCACATAGGGATTCGTTAATTCTTTCCATTTTTATGTTACGAAATTTTCTGTAATCAAAAGGTTAACACAAAGGTAATTTCTGTAATAAAAACATTAGAATGGAGATAGTGTTACTGATTTGCGGGTGACACTGAGTATTTGACCCCGCCGCAGGCCTAGAAGCACTTTGAACAGCATCTTCGTTTGCTGCAGCCACCCCTGACCTTGGTTCCAATACCAAGCTGCCCTTCCCGACTGTAACCATTTGGGGCCATACCAGAATCTCACAATGTGCCCCCTGAAAAAAAGATAAGGAAATGCAGCAGTCCCAGCCCCCAGGCAGAGGAAGCTCCCCATACGGGGGACTTATTCCTTCACTCATCTCCTGCCAGCAGCAGATGGAGCCTGTATGGGCCATGGAAAGGCCCCGAGCACAAAGGGCTAACACACTGCCCCTGACAGGACTGGGCCTTCCCTTGGTGGGTGCTGCCCTTCAGGCCCAGGCCTGCCTGATGATTCTGGGTGTAGGTTAAAGGGACCATGAGTCTGTGGCCCCTGAGTATGTGGTAATGAGCTCAGACACCAAAAATTGAGACCTGGTTCTACTTGGCTTCTCTGTCCAGGCTGAAATGCCTCACCTGTATCCTGAGTTGTGAAGAAAAGACTTTGGGAATACTGGATGCCATTAGAGGATGGGCAGTATAGTCTCCAAGAAAAAAAAAAAAATCAGAGGCTGATACTAACTTAATCTGTGAGGCTGGGTACAGTGGCTCACACCTGTAATCCCAGCACTTTGGGAGGCTGAGGTGGGTGGATCACCAGGTCAGGAGTTCAAGACCAGCCTGGCCAACATGATGAAACCCCATCTCTAATAAAAATACAAAAAATAAGTTGGGCTTGGTGTTGGGCACGTGTAATCCCAAGTACTTGGGATGCTGAGGCAGGAGAATTGCTCGAACCCAGGAGGCAGAGGTTCATGAACCCATGAGCCAAGATCTTGCCATTGCACTCCAGCCTGGGCAATAGAGCAAGGCTCTGTCAAAAAAAGAATCTATAAGGCTCAAACATGGGGGATGGGGGGGTGAGAACAGGGCACCGAAAGGACTGACCTCTAAAATAATCTGTCTGTGACAAAATGGCTTCCAACTAAT